GAAAATGATGTCAACGAGTGAAAAGTTTAAGAGAGAGAGAGAGAAAGAGAGACAGGGATAGAAATAGGGATAGGGATAGGGATGAGGAGGAAGAGAACGAAAGGGTTGATTTCTTTTTCTCTCGAAATTATCTCCTTTAAGAAAGCTTTAACGCGTTTGCCTCCACGAGCGGATCTTTTTTTTTTTTTTTAATCAACCCAGCTTTTATAAGTTGTGGCGAAAAATCCTTTTTATCTTCGTTCGAAAAAAAAAAAGAAATTACTAGTCTCAGTGTAAGGTTTATCGACCTTTTTTTGTTGTTGTTGTCCTTTAAAGAAGAAAATGAATGAATGAATGAATGAATAGATTTTGTACGAGGAAAAAATGATGATAAAAAGTTACGAATAAAAAATGTCGGAGTCGTCGTCGTCGTAATATTCGTTTTGAGAAATAATAAATTGAAAAAGAAAAAAAGAATAGAATTATTAAAAAAAGAGGAGAAAAAGGTTATTATTATTGACGTGGCATCAGATGCTTTCTTTTTGTATTTTTACTTTGTCGTGGTTGAGAAAAAAGAAGGAAACGTCGAATTAAAAAAAAAAAAAAAAAAATAAACGATTGATTGGAACAATGAAATTATTACCATTTTGATTTTGATATATAAAAAATGAAATAGAGCGGTGACGTCATTTCCGGGAAACCGTAAAAGTACGTAAAAAAAAAATTTTTTTTTTTATTGTTATTATTATTATTATTATTACTATTTGCAACACGGGGGGTTTACGAGTCATTAATACGCACACCGAACCGAGTTTTCAATATTAACCGACCGAATGAAAATAATTTAGTTAGTTTTTTTTTTTTTTTTTGTTAATTCCACGACGACGACGAAAAATTTCATTTCGTTTCATTTTATTTCATTTTTTTTTTTTTTTTAAAGCGAATGAGAAATTGAATTTTTTTTTTCTTTTGTAAAGTTGGTAAATCTGAATTTGAAATGAATTTATCCGTTTCGTTCTTTTAAAAAAAAAAAAATTTTTTTTTATTTTATTATCGTCGAAATCAATTTGAATTTTTTTTTTTTATTAAATATTCGTTTCGAATATTCTTTTATTATTATTTCAACTATTTCTTCTGCCACGTTCCTTTTTTTTCCTCCTCCCCTTTCCCGCTTTTTTTTGTTTGTTAATAATATTCGAGGACAAAACGACAGCAGCAGCTTCCCTGTAAAACCTGTATTTTACGAAAATCGTTTTCGTTTTTGTTTTTTGTTTTTTTTTTTCAAATGTAAATTTTCCATTTTGCGCCTTCTTTTGTCTTCTGCTTTTACCGTTATGTCGTCATCAGTTGTTTACTACATTATCGTTATTATTATCATTATCGTCGGTGTAATTTCGAAGCGTATTTAGTCGAATTTATGTAATTTAATTATGCATTAATACGTTAATTATTTAACGTTTATCCCTTTTTTCTTTTCTTTTTTTTTTTTTATTTACGTGAATTTATTTTTTAAAAACGGGAAGAGAGAGAGGGAGAGAGTAGTTAGTTTAAGAGAGAGAGAGAGGGAGACGGAAATAAAAAGATGCTTAGACAGAGAGAGAGAGAGAAGGAGAGAGAAGAGGAGAGGAGAGAAACGAATAAAAATATTATATTTATCATTTTTATTCGTTCTTATTATTATTATTGTTATTATTATTATTTTTTTTTTTTTATTGTTTTGGCCCGTTCGCATAATATCTAATTCCACGACGAAGACGACGATTGGGGTGGGGCACGAGGACGACGAACGACGACGACGTCAACGTCTTTTTATTTATTTTCATTGTTTTTGGATTATTGTTTTTGTTTTTGTTTTTTTTTTTCAACATGTATTATTTGCATGCAAATTTGTTTTTGTCTGTTTTCTTGGATTTTTTGTTGTTGTTGTTGTTTGTTTGTTCGTTTGTTGTTATTGTTTAATAATGACCTCCTGGAATTTTTCCGTAGTTTTGATTTAGATTTATCCGCTTAATAAAATAAAAATGATGGTAAATATTTATATGCACGACGAGAGTATGCGTATATATATACATACATATTTATTTATTTATTTATTTTCGTTTGTTTACTTTTTATTTATTTATTTACTTATTTATTTTTACTCGTTTTCAATTTTTTTTGTGTTTATTTTATTTTTATTTATTTTTCATAAACTTTTTCATATTTTATAGTTTTGTTTTATTGTTTATATATAATATAATTTGATAGTTTTTTTTTATCGTCGACTATTTGATACGTATACGAGAGGTACGTAATAAATAAAATTATTATTATTATTATTATCGTACCTATTATTATTTACGTTTTTATTATTATTATTATTAATAACATTGTTGCTCTGTTTCGTTATTGTTATTTTATATTCCTGTGTTTCTGTTGTCGCAAATTGTTGATAACATTGTCGTTATTGTTTATGTATATATATACGTAGTTTTCTTTTTTTTTTTTTTTTTCAATTTTTGTTTGTTTGTTTGTTTGTTCGTTTTTTTTTTTTTTTTTTTTATCACTCGGAATTCGAATGCTAGTCTTTGTCGTTATTACTATTATTATTATTTTTTTTTTTTTTTGTTTGTTCGCTTTTCACAATCGAGTCGAACGTCGTCGACTAATTAAAAAAAAAACAATAAAATGATATTATTATTATCATTTTCTCGTAAGAAGTTTTATTATTATTAATATTATTATTCGAGTTTTCCGTTTTTCTCATCATCGTCTCATTCATTTCCTGTTTTGAATAAATTAAAAAAAATTTTTTTTTCTGTGGAAGAGCGGAAGCGTGGGGAAAAAAGGGATTTCTTTTCGATAAATGATGTATATTTATTATCCGATTATAAACGTTTCGAAAGGAAAAGGAAACGCGTTCGTTTCATTTTCTTTCTCTCTCTCTCTCTCTTTTTTTTTAAAAAAATTTATAACGAGAATTTTATTCGCTACATCGATTTACGCGAGAAATTTCAAATGAATGGTAAATATTGAATTGTGAAAACGAATTAAGGTTTATAATAGTTTTGTGAAGTTGTTGAAGAATGAAATGAGTAGTTCCGTAGCTTGCGAGACGGGGGGCGGGAGGAGTGGGGCGGCGCGATGCGGGAGGAAGGAAAGATTTCACGCAAAATTTACGTAAGATAATGCGAGGAGACGCGGTTAAATTTTAAGGAAATAATTGATTTAAAAGAAGGATGATGGATGTGTGTGTGCGCGTGCGCTGACGATAATGATAAAAGTGCTAAACGCGAGAATTACCCCCCCCCCCTTCGACCCCCCAAAAAAAAGATGGAGGTGAAAATATAAAAAGATTTTTTTTTTTTTTTTAAATCACCTATCGATCAATTGACAATTAATTAACAAACGAGTTTGTCTGTTTGTTTGTTTGTTGTTTGTTATTGTTGAAGACGACAAGAGGAAAAAATTGTAGATGCCTGGGTTTGTTTATCATTAATTTTCTCACGCGGAAAATTCGTTTAAATTTTTACAAAATGATGAATGAAAAACGTTTGTTGACACCAGTCGGAAAATGACAGAGTGGGAAATATTATTATTATTATTATTATTATTATTATTATTATTATTATTATTATTATTATTATTATGTTCACCATTAAACACGACAAGGCTCTTATTTGTCGGGGTTTTTAAGCATTTATCCCATGTCTCTACCCGATTCCTTAGGGACAAATACTCGAATATCATTATTATTATTATTATTATTATTATTATTATTACGTACAATATTACGTATTTGGTTGTTTTTTTTTTATTCTCTCCGTAAGAATTTATATATATTTAGAATTTGTTTTCTCCGGAATTTTCTCTTGGAGTTTTCCGAGACGGAACAAACTCCTGTGGGAAAATAAACCAGCGAATTCGAACGATGACGTTCGTATCCTCCCGTGCGGAGGAGGGAGGGAGAAAGAGGAAAATTCTATTTCCGGGCTTGCCCCAAAATTGTCGTGTTCTTTAATCTCATTACGGAGTTGGAGTTGTTGTTGTTGTTGTTTCAATGATGGACGACCTCCCCATTTAAAATGAAATAATAATCATATTATTTTAAAAGGATTAAACGTTGGAAAAGCGAAATAATTCTGCTGCTGTTGGTTTACAATTCGGATGTCGGTACGGCGGTTGTCGTCCTTTTTTTTTTTTTTTTTCGAATTGGAGTCGAGGCGTTCCAACAACCGCAAACTCACCGTGGGGAGTTTTATTATTATCATTATTATTGTTAAATATTTTACGATTTTAAATGAAGAAGTTTACTGGTCTTTAAAAACTTGTCGAAAGTAATTTTACGAGAGAGAGAGAGAAAATTTTAAAAGTAAATCAAATAAAAATTTTCTTCGGGAAGAGGAGGAGGAACAGCAGCAGCAACAGCAGCAATGCGCGTTTAATTTTCTCTTTCGACAGACAAACAAACAAACTCTGGAGGAGAAAAAATGGTGGTGGTGGCTGACAGATAACAAATTTATTCGTATTTCATTTCAAGGTTTTTTTTTTTCGATTTGTTTTGTTTACGATGCCATCTTTGAATTTTTCGCGCGCTTTTCTGGGCAAAAAAAAAATTCAAGATCGCCGAAACCGATGATGACGTAATAAATGAAAAATAAAAAATGGCTCGCGTCCTTTTTATAGGCATCAGAAGACGAAAAAATTTTTTTTGTTTTTTCATCCTTTTCGAAATTTTTCGAAACCCAATTTTTCCTCCCCCCCCTCCTCTCAATTTTTATTAACGAATTCTTTCGATTTTTCGTGTGTATGTGCGTCAAATAATTGAAAATACTTCGATTCCGAACAATAATAATAATAATAATAATAATAATAATAATAGGAATTTCTTTTCTTTTCATCAAATCATACGAAACGAAACGATGAAGTGTTTTTTTTTTTTTCTTTCTTTTTTGCTTTGTTACATTTAATTAAGTTGAATTTTTTTCAATATTTTTAATTTAACTACGTAAAAAAAAAGAAAAAAGAAAAAGAAAAATTGGCTAGAAGTTTTTCTTTTTCTATAAAATAAAAAAAAAATTGGATGAAAGCAAAAAGAAAAAAAGAAATAGGAAAGGATTAGGAAGGAAGGAAAAAAAAAATAGAAAAAAAGAAAATTTTCCCTGTTGTGAAAAGAAAGAGAAAAAGAAAAAGAAAACGTATAATTAAATTAAAAAGTTTTTAAGCCCCCCTTCCCCGTATCTTCTCCCGTTCCCCGTATCCCTACGATTTTATTTTTACTTTTTAATTTTTTTTCTCTTTTTTTTTTTTTTTTTTTTGCTCTCGTTAAATAATTTCGATAGAAATTCGGGAGATGACGGTTAGTGAAGGTACGCGAAAGTGTGAGTAAAAGGGGGTAGTAGTTGTAATAATAATAATAATTACTCACCTCTTGGAAATGCAAAGCCGAACGCAAAATATACGACGGAAGGTTGAGACATATGAAAACAGTCGACACGATCAAGAGCATTTTGGTGACCTTGATTTGCGAATTGTTCGATCGTATCGAGGAAGGCATTCTTAGAGCTGGGGGACGTTGAACGACTCCGTTCACGATTCTTCCTTGCAAAGTGTTGGTCATTGTTCGCCTTATCCGTGCCAATTTCCAAACGGTCAAACAAATGCTCGTGTTAATGAATGATATGGCGAAAAAGGGAAGTATGAGAACGATGAAAAAATCAACGCTGTCGAGAACGTTGTACAAATCTTTGTAGTCTTCTTTTAATTGGCACATGAGAATCGTTTGATTGGTCGCACGATCCGAATGACTCTCCAAACCGGATATGAATATCTGAGGCATGTAAAAGAGTAACGACGCGAACGTGAGACACGTTATAACGATTTTGGCACGGGACACGGTGCACATGGAGGGTCGCTTGAGAGGATAACCCACGGCTATAAATCGTTCGACGGTGAACGCGACGACGAACCAAACGCTTAGGAAACTACACACGGACGATAGGTACACGGAGAGTTCGCAAAATATCGGTTGATTGAATATCGATATATCGATCATGTTCAACCACGAAACGAATATGATGAGTAGGAATCCTGTGTCGCTTATGGCGAGTGCGGCGAGGTAAAAACTCGACGACAATTTTCGGAGTTTGGTGCTGAAGAAAACGACGACGGATAACCAATTGCCGACAGTTCCGAATGCTACCAAAAACGGAACGTAGTAGAGTTCGATTTTTTCCAATATTTTTATCGCACCGGAAAAGGTTTGATTTTCGAATGAGGAAACGTAGGTCGCGTTAACGTCGTACTCGACAATGTCCACCATGGTTGCGTCATCATGAGCATTTTTATCTCCTTTCATGGTCGTGAACATCGTTTTTCACGATTCGAATCCGTTTCATTTTTTCTCACCATCATCTAAAATGTTTAAAAAGAACAAATCGTCAAAAACAAAGAAAAGAAAAAGAAAATGCCGGAAAAGTGGAAAAGAAAGAAAGAAGAAAATACATATATATTAACGTTTTATAAGATGGCGTAAAATTTTCGTGCTTCCCCTCACCCCTCTCCTCCTCCCCCCGATCAGGCTTTTTCTGATTTATTTACAGGGTCGTAACAGTTAATTTGAATTTTCCCTTCGGAAAAATTACAAGACACAAAAAAAAAATTTATTTTCCAATCCTCCCATCCGGAAAATTTTTTTTGTTTTTTTTTTTATCTTTTTTTAATATTCCAGACGCGCGGAAAAATAATTATTAAAATCATTTGGAAAAAAGACAGAGAGAGAGAGTGGAGTGAATGAAAACAAAACAAAGGAAAAGGTATATAAACTGGAGCAGAAAAAAAGAAAAAAAATTATGAAGGTCGCTATACGGGAGTTGAAACGAGGGGAAGGAGGGAAAGAAAGAGAGAGTGAGAAAGAGAGGGAGAGAGTGAGAGTGAGAGATCATTTGCGGGAGTGTTTGGGAAATGTTAAATAATTGAAAATAATATTTTTTTTTTTTTATTTATTGTTTAAAAAATGATGATGATGATGATGATAAAGTAAACGTAAATGTAAATTACACGAAAGGGTGGAAAGGAAAAGAAAAAGAAAAAAAATGGAAGAGAGAAAGAAAGAGGGATAAAAAGTACATTATTTTTTCAAAAGGAATAAAAAGAAAATTATAAAAAAACCATAGTTTGCCATATGAAAAACAAGTGAAAATGTAGTTTTTTTTTTTCGTAAAAAAAATGGCTGGGAAAATTTTTTTTCTTTTTCTTTTTTGTTTATACCTTTAAAGCTTTTTTTTGTTTGTTTTTGTAATAGAAAACTTTTCGCTTCCGGTTTTTCTCCATTTTTTTCCCCACCTTTCGTTATTAAATAAACTGATAATTTATTGATACAAACAATTTTTTTTTTCAAGCAAATTAATAATTAATAATTTTAATTAATTAATAATAATTAATGCTTTTTTAACGTCGGGGGCCTTGATTACTTTTCATTATTATTATGTTAATAATTTTTTTTTCTGTTTTATGAAAATACTTAAAAAATTAATAGTGAATTAAAAAAAAGGGAAACCGGAAACGGTAGTAGACGGGTACAGAACAAAGGGCGTCTGTTCGTGTTAATATAATAACATCCGGTTTTTTTTTTTTTAAATTTTTTTTTTAAATTGATCGAATTGAAAAAACGTTAGCGGAGTCGGGTTTTCCCTCCCCCCCTCGTATTGTCTTTACCTTTATCCTCTTCCCACTTTCCTTCCCCTCCCTAAAACTCGATAAAATTGTTATCGCGCTGCGTTGTTTTCGTTTTATCCTTTTTCTTCCCCTCCATGTTTTTTCGTTTAAATCCATGTGTCGAACGATCAATCAATCATTCATTCATTCATTCATTCATTCATCATTCGAAATTTTTGCAAAATAATTTTCACGCAATTAATTTTATACGTTTCGCGTTTTGTCGAAAACGAAAGCGTATCGGAGCGTTCGGAGGGGAGAAAATGAAGCGAACTGGAAAAAAGGCAACAGAAATTTCTCCCTTCTTCCCTTCCTCCTTCTCCTCCTTCTCCCGAAAAAGAAATTAAGGTTTGAGTTTGTAATATATTATTGTCAATTTTTTTGTTTTGAAAGAGAGAAAGATTCGTTTCCGGTTTTTGTTTGTTTGAAGCGTTGCGGTGATGATAAAACACGCACGTTAAAATATTGATGAAAACGGGAGGAATGAAATTTCATATTGTGCAGTGAATAAATGAATGAATGATGGGAAAAGAAAGAAGACGAAATAAAATAACAAAACTGTCGTTTGTTACCACATAGAAATAAATCAAAAGGAAGGAGGAGGAGGAGGAAAGTTAACCAAAGAAAACGATTAAAAAATGGCCGACCTTCCCGTCGTGTAAGAATGAATTCGGAAAATGAACCAGAAAACAAACAAAACGGGGTGAAATTGTTATCCCGATGATGATGACGAAGGCGTGTGGAAATCTCTCATGAGTCATGACGTCATCAAAAATTTACACAAATGAAATTTTAAAAGGAAATATCAATGAGATTGATTTTCAGTAGGCGTTCGTATGGGGGGGAGGGGAGGGAATGAGGGAAGAATGGAAATTTTTATTTTAAAAAGAAAAATGAATTATTTAAAAAAAAAGGAGACGGGGGGATTATGGTTGAACGAACATTTTGCAAATGATGAAGAATCGCGTTCGCGCGTTAAAAAAAAAATGTACGATTGATGGTCTACGTCAAAAAATAAACGTCACAAAAAAAAGGAAAAAAGGAAAAGTTTCGACGGAAAATTCTTACTTGAAAAGTTCGAAAAGGTTAATTGAGCGACGCCGCGTAGGAAGAAGAAAAAGAAGAAGAAAAAAAGATTTTCGTGAAGATTCGAAAAAGGGGAAAGGCGGTGGAGATGGGAACGTAAAAAATATTCTTATACCACGTCGAAAAAAAAAAAAAGGATCGAAACTTTAAACGAATTCATTTTAATGACGAAAGTATTCGCGAGTTTTAATTTTTATTTTCAATTTTCTCCGCTTTGTCCCTTCCTCCCCTCCCCTCTCCCCTACCAAAAAAAAGAAATGTTTGCTGAATTAATAATTTTAATATTATTATTATTATTATTATTATTTTCTGAAGGCGTTATATAAGGAGAAAATTCAAAGAAGGGAAAAAAAAGGGCGCGTGCAGATAATTTTCTTTTAATTTTTCTCCTCCGTGAAAAAGTTTGAATCTGAGAAAAATCTCGACTTCCGGTTACTTCCGGTAAAAAAAAATTTTTTTCTTTTTAATTTTTAATTATCAAAAGCGGAAAATTTGAAAAAACTTTTCGTGTTGGTGCGTGTGCGCCCGTATTCGTCGGATTGTGAAAAGTTTAAAACTGAAAAAAAAAAAAAAACTGATGGGGGAGAGAGAGATAGAGAAAGAGAGAGAGAGAGAGGTAAATATACAAAGAAAACAAGAAAAGTGAGAGAGAGAGAAAGAAAATGTTTTTTTTTTTTTTTTGATGTTAGCAAAACGTTAAATAATCTGAATTTGGGCGATATGGTAATTTCACTTTTTGCGACTCTCTCTCTCCCTCCCTCTTACTTTCTCATTCTCTCTCTCTCTTGGAAACCTTGACGCGAACGTTTAAGTAATTTTCCACGACGGTATAATTTTTTACGTTTGTTTCCGTTTTACATTCGAACGTTTTAATATTATGATAGTTTTTAGTTTTTCCATTTCGCGTGATTATTGATAATGTTTATTACTTTCAAGATGGCGGTAGTTGGGGAGGTAGGGAGGGAGGGAAGGGAGGGAGAGACCACGTAAATAAATCTTTTTAGGATTTCATTGTGTGTGTCTGTGTGTGCACGTGCGCGTGCATCTCTCTCTACGTGCTTTACGTGTACACAACGCGGATAACGAACGTTTTTCTTTTTTCTTTTAAAAGTTTTCATTATTATATCACATCTGGAAAATCTTTTTTTTTTCTATTTCTGTTTCTATCGTTTATTTTTATTAGTTTTTAATTTATTAAATTTTTTCGTTTCCCCCCCCCACTCTTTTTGCCAGAAAAAAAGGAAAAAAAAATTTCAGAATTTCCGCTAGACAAAATAATAATATTTATTATTATTTATATTATTACCATATCTCGTATGCATTTTTTTTTTGTTGTTGTTTGTTTGTCTGTTTGTTCGAATTGTACGGGTATGAAAAAAAAAAATTTTTTTTTTCCTTTGGCGAACGGAAATGTTCCTCTCGGCGTTTTTCCGTCTGTTTAGTTTTTTTTTTGTTTTTTTTTTTTTTTTTTTTTGTTCATTCGTTCCGCGAATCGAAATTGTGGAGTTTTAATAATTTTTTATAAATAAACAACACCCCGCCCCCTGTCCCCAATTTTGCTTTTTCGTTTACAAAATATTCCAGTCGAAAACGAAAAACGAGCGTACTGGAAAATTATTTCCGTCGTCGTGTTCGTCGTCGTCGGAATTTTTAGCAAATTGAAAAAATTTTTTAAATTGATATTTTGGTTATTTCCCTCCAACCCCCCCTCTTCCCCCCTCATCCCAACCGCTCTGGATACGCAAAATGTGTTAACAAGTGTTTGTCTGATTAAAAAAAAAACCCAATGATAATAATAGTGGTAGAAAATAAGGGGAAAAGAGGGAGAGAAAGGGGGAATATTTGAAATCGTTGCGTGTGATGTGTTTTCAATTTCAAACGTAACCGTATATTTTTATTCTCAAAGGAATCACTAATTAACGAAAGGAATCTAATTTTTCAAAGGTTCCTTAGAGAATTTTCCTTTTTTTTCCTTTTTTCCTTTTTTTTCCCTTTTTTTTTGTCTATGAAACCAACGATGAGTTTTTTTTTTCGTGTTTATTCGTATAATATTGAGGTCGTCGTGGAAAACGTGTAAAAAAATTTTTTTTTGTTTTGTTCGAATTAAAATTTAAAAATTTTGCCGCGTCTGATTCCACGTTTAAAAAAAAAAATTCACGTATATTTGTTCGTTTATTTCCATTGTTTGTTTGTTTGTTTGGGTCCGTCTTAGCATAAGTACAAAAATTATTTATTTTTTTTATTTTTATGACTTCAAACTTGGGGGAGGGCTGGCGAAGCGGGAAAATCAGGGGGCGGGGCGAAATGCGGAGTAAGAAAACAAATAAACATGGCGGAACGAGGAAGTTTTTTATGTCGTAAAAAAAAAAAAAGATTTATTTCGAAATCGGGTTGGAAAGAAAGAAAAAGAAAAAAAAACAGAGTGGGGAAGGGGACCGGCGACGGTGTCGGGAAAATGAGGGGGGTAGGTAGGGTAAGAAAAGGAAAAAATGAAGGAAAATTTCGATTGTTATTATTTAATGGTAAAATTCGTAATCGTTGTTTCGTCGTTCTTTGTTGTCACCGGAA